AAAAACGCATATTGTCGACAGTTCGTCTGTGTGTGTGTGTGTGTGTGTGTGTGTGTGTTCGGAAATGAGTGAGCTTTGTTGTTCACTTTCAACTCAGCAACCAGGAAAGCTGGGAGGCTGAAATTTTGGGGTATCGCTACCGCCCATGTGTTACCCTCCCGTTTTAAAATCTTCGCTCATACGCGTCTTGATTTCGCTTGCGGACCCCCCAAAAAATATGCAGATTCCTTTGGTGGGAAAAGATTTCGTAGAGCAGGTAAGCAAAAAGGCTGAAACTCTGCAAGGGCATTTGCTTTGTATGTATAGGCTGGAGATTTTAAATTCAGCTGCTGCACATGCCTATACCGCGCATATGATCACGTCAAAACCCGCAATTGGCACTGTGATAACTCGAGAACTAGTCGGAAAATAGTAGCTGAAATTAAGTCAGAATATTTGTTGTTCTTATGAAAAATCGTGTATCTAAACTGAATTTTGATTTGCACCATCAATTAGGACGCTTCAGAGATAGCTGTAATGAAGTGGCTATTATACCTACCAGGCAAGTTGCGAAGCTGAAACTTGAAAGGATATTCTATATTCACATATGGTCAGAATTCGGTTTGTAGGTAAAATTCCCCACACGCAGACATGGCAAATACTCAATGTTATCGCAAACTCGAGGGCTAGTACTTTTTGCAGATTTCATAATTTTCTTCAGACTTCCTTCAAATTTGCATTCTTTCAATGAATTTGCCGGGAAAATGCGCTGTCTTCCATGCGTTTCCATAAAACAACGCCTTCATCCTAACCAACGCTTTTTCCCTTGCATGCGGGAAAAAATTAAAATACAGCCAGTATGAGTCCAATTGTTAATCTACAGCGTAGAGACCATTCCTGCTAACGATCTACAAGTTTAGCGCAAAAACGCATGATTGCGTCGGTAAGCTTGGTGCACTGTAGATTGGATTTTTTCTAGCATGCCGTGTAATAAATACTCGCTGGTTTTTAAACCAGAGAATGTTTACTATACCGGATGCTAGAATAAACAACGGATGAGTTTTTAGCAGTGTGGATTGGCGAGTCAATCCATAAAACAATTTCCAAGGAAATTCGCAAAATGAATAGATAATGAACAAATCAACACTTTATCAACTTAATTTCGATTAAGTAAAGACGTATCCAAGTAAGTCCTCTTTCTTCTTATGAAAAGCAGTTCAGCGCATCTGAACAATTTTTTTGCTTTTTAAAGCAATTTAGCATCTTAAGCTAAAAAGAAAACTTTTCGATCATTCGTAAATTCAGATTAGAAAAGTTAAGCTAATTCTATTACCTTCTAATTTTATTACCTGCTTCTAATTTATCTGCACATGTACTTAGAAAATTAATTTTGATCAAAAAGTATCAAAATTTTACCGCTGTTCACCAATCAAAATTTGCATGTACAAAAAAAACTAAGACAAGTCCTGGTAATGTATGTTATCCGACCTGCAAAGGCGTTTGAACAAAACATGATAGCTTTCGGTGCCATATTTAATACCACGCAGCAGACCCATCGGCGTA